CGTCAGTGACCTTGGCCAGTGCCGCGTATCGATTTGGTGATGTGTATTGCTTGATTTTCTTTTCTTCTTGTGGTGATGGACTAGAAGGYGAGGACAAATGCCGTTTTGATTTTTGGATTTGTGGTGGTTGAGGCGGCGCCATGTTAGGCGGACTCAAAGTGTTTACGAGGAGCGATAACGGAGCGGACGTGCGCGCGAACGTGTGTTCATGACGAACGTTATCGCCAGAACATAATAATTAAAACCGATATATAAACGTAAATATAGTTTTATTTTGAATTTCGATTGAATATATCAAGTTTTTCAAAATAAGAACATTACATATTTACATATTTTAAACGTTGAAACGTCTATATATAAAAATTACTATTACAAAGGTACCTATTTTTGATTTTTAAAACATTGTAAGAATAAAATCTATTGTCAAGCTTTCTGACCGACAAAAAATGTTTTTACCTACATTTATAGGAAAAAAACCTTAAAAGTTAGAAAACTTCAAATTCCTATATATTGCTTAAAATGAGTTTAAATATTTTAAAAGTAATGGTTTATAGAATATAATAATTTAAGTAAAATTTAGACTTTTTCAAGATTCAGCGATAACTTCTTTTGAAATAATAACAAAATGTGTAACCTTGTATTCGTATAAACGTATATTTAACTAGATAAAAAAATACCAACTAAATCTAATTGTCTAACAAAAATTATTCTTATCTTCAATTTTTATTATTCCAAAACKTAATGATAGACAGATAAAACAAAATAACACACACTTAATGTATTGTGAATTGTGAAACCAATGCAAATTCATCACTCCATTCAAAATATAAAATAACTATTAACTACTAGGCACCTTCCTAAATTGAAAATGTATTTTTAATTATAATACGGTCTGCAGTTATGGGACAAGTAATGCAAAAAAATCTAACATTAACAAAATTCAAGCATTTCAAAACATTACTATAAAAAAATTAACTAATGCACTTCTCTAAGTCTCAAATTTTTTTCTACACTCAGGCCTATAACTAAAAACAATAATTGTTGAATCTAAATGTTTCTATATAAGATTCCACAACCACCTAAGTACTTTTTCAAATCCATTTAACAAAAATTTGACCTCCACCATCATACCTGGTAATCCCTTAACGCCTAAAGCGTATGTCGTGGTTTTTATACATAAATAAATACATAAAAAGGATATATTTATAAAACAAAAATAGTTAAATATTATAATTAAGGCACCGTAAATGTGTCATCAATGGATGGCTCCTTTCATCAAAATAATGTTACCTGTCAATTGTACTTTTAGCCTATATATTTATTGTGTTAATRAAATACCTACAGATTGTATATTGCTAGTAAGATTTTATAATTAAAATATATTTTTTTTTATAACTACTTCAGTATACCTATTCCAATTCTTTAATTATGATACATATGAAAATAAAGAACATAACAACTAAAAGGGTTTTTTTTAATTTCTAGTCTTCTAGATATATAGAACATTCAACATTTTATGTTTTAATTTTTTAATCTGCTTGGTGAAGGCACGAATTACCAAATATAACTATCTACC